TTTTAGTGCAATGACAATAATTTTTGTGTTTATTTGCAGCCCTATTTTCACTCATTTGGCTGGGAAGACATCAGTGTGGAAGGCGCTATCACCTCAAGTGCTTCAGGCTGCTTTCAATGTTCCGGAAGATGTGGAGAAGGAGTTCAGGTCGAAGAGGACTGCAGAGGAGATATTCTTCCCCCCACCAAACTGATTGATTTAATCACTGATTTGATTATCTTTTTTTGGCTCTAGTTGTGCCATAGTCGCTTTAGCAATAAAGATATAAAGTTCGTTTATTGAATTTCATCTTTTCTGGTTCTTTCTCGTGTTTGGGTACATCAATTGGCAAATGGAAATATGCTTCCTCTATTCGATCAAATTCTTACAGTTGCTTTGATTTTTCTGTTGTTTTATGAGTTCCGGCCAAGCAGGGAGTTGCCTATATTTTATTATCTAACATGGGCAGTTCTAAAACTTAAAAGAATGTACATTTATGTTTAAGAAATTTTACTAAATAGGGGTCAAAATAATGTGAAATATATATGGAGCAAGAATACTAATATACTATACTTTCATAAATGGGAATAGGGGTTTTGACCTCAATATTACTAAATGGACAATTGACAAAAATGTGATTTTTTTAAATTTTCAAAAATGTGACTAGGGGTGGAGTCGGGCCGGGCCAACCGGCCCGGACTGGTCCATGCATAAATGTGACTAATAAGTTACAGTGACACGCTACAATGACATACTACAATGTCAGAGACACAGTGACATCCAACACCTCCTCCACCAGTGGCTGCCGCCTGCCGGCTTAAGTGAAACAACCACAGTGACGCCGCCACTGTGATGCCGCCACTACCTAGTGATGTCAAATTTTTCAGTGACACCACCAGTTGAAAATTACTCCGGCCGCCGCCACTTCGTCAATGTCCCTCCCTAGCCTTCCAATTCCCCTGCACAATTATTTTTTATTGTTGTTTCGCTTCATAGCCCACCCATAGCACCCTAGTTGTCAGATCCAGCCACCACACCTTGCCCCTCAACCACTAAACACCATTGCCGCAACCATGACCCCCGCTCTTCCTCAGAGCATAGCTAATACCAGATCTGAAAATGGCAGCGACCATCGACCGCCATTGTCATTCTGACGGGAGACAGAAGTAGAGGAAAAAGAAGGCCGACGACGGACTTACGATCTTAAGATCTGGGATTACATCCTACAAGGTCAACTTGACATGAGGAGTAGTTCAAAGCCTTATATAGTGTTTTATTGTTTTACAATTTTCTGGTGTGGGAGAAATATTGTGACACGTCCCCTCATGTTCGGGTTGGACAATATCGAGGTGTATAAATGGACCAAACTGTCCCTTAACAAGTTACATGTAATCCTGAGTGCTAAACAAGCAGTCAAACAACAACCGGAATTGGCTCAGATACCATGTTAAGACCCGGAGTTCCATTCTAAAATATCAACCTAATAGGAGGAGTAACCCGAAGCCTTATATAGTGATTTATTGTTTTATAGCTTTTCAGTGAGGGACAATCACTTTAACATGCAATGACGGAAGGCGACGGACTTCCTATGGCGGCAAACGAAGAAGATGCAAACTTGCAGTGGCGGTGAGCGATGAAGGTGTGGCGGCGAGCTTCATCGGCAACGACGTGACCTGGAAGAAGAGATGCGACCTCACAGGAGGACGATGGTGAAGGCGGAGGACAGGGCTTGAAGATGGAGGCTTGGCTTTGGCGACGCAGATAGATCATCTTGCGCAGAGAAGGCACAAAGAGGGAGATAGACGGTCTCGAGAGATAATTCCTTTTTAAATTAAATGGTCACTTTTTTGTCCTATAAATGGTCATATTTTTGTCTGTTAAAACCTCATAAGTAATACTTTTGCCATTCTTTCATAGGAATAATTACAGTTGAAAAATAGATTAAATGATAGAAATAATAAGGATATTAATGTATATGGTGAATCAAAATATGACAGTACGATTCCCCACTTCCATTTTGATTGAAATTTAGCATGGTTTTCAATTTTATTTTCAAAATTTTCTCTCATTTGTTTTGTTACATTCACGAGTGATTAATTAACCACCTGCTATTTGACATTTTGGTGTGATTATTGTGCTAGTCACATATTTGATACCTACTTTAGATACCCAATTTTGAATATTATATTCTCACTTTTTTAATATATCGACTATTTTATCAATGATACTTTGAAGTTTGAAATATTGGAAAAGTTCATATGAATAATCTCAATTATCAGTGGTCTCCAAATATTAATCCCAAATACACATAACTCTACAATAATCTCAAAATTACAGGCCGCCTTTTATTGATCCAGTTTACCTACAACTTACTTAGCTGGTAAACCCCTAGTAAAAATAAAAATAAAAAGAATAGTTGGGCCGCTTAGCAACCAGGTTGTTTCATAGGCACAACGCACTGACGATGAAGAATAAAAGTGACGAGATGGAGACCAGACTAGCTGGGATGAGAGGGACGAGTGTGTTGATGATGAAAAGGTTGGGATGGACGGAGGTTCCTCGTAGAAGAACAAATGGGATAGACACTTGGATGGCGATGAATTGAAGAACAACTAGGTCGGACGAAAAAACGATGATGAAGAGCATCTGGGGCGGATGGTCGTCGACGATCTACAACTGGTCTAGACAGAGACCATGGAACAAGGACGAGCTGGTGTTCGCACTTTGCTGAAACACTTTATGCTCAAGCCCCAATAAAATAAAAGAAAAAGTAGAGTAGAGAAAGAAGGTAAAGTTAGAGTTGAACTTCTAACATTAGATGCAAATCTAGAGCTTCTAAAATTCGATCAAATCCAAATTCGAGTAAGGGGAAATTGGAATTGGATTTGGCAATTTAAATATTCCTTATATTAAATCCACAGATGCCAGAGAGGGGGAAAGAAAAGAAAAGAAAAGAAAAGGAAAAAAAGAAAATGAAAACCTGCTAAATCATGGTCTGTGAGTAGTATACTTTACCAGTGGAGAAAGAAGAAAACGGAAGGGAAATGGTAAGACGGAGGAAGAAAAAAGAAAGGAAAAAAGGATTAAGAAAAGAAAAAATATAGACCAGAAAAAAGATAGACCAGTAATAATGTGTCATGTGTCTGGGTGACCTGCTGAATGAGTTTATGCAGGTTACCAGATTGTTTTGAGAATAACCTTATTATAATTTAGATTATATTAGAATTACGTATATCTGAGATTAATATAGGAAGATTGCTGATAGTTGGAATTATTCATGTGAATTTTTTCTTAAATATTTGATGTTGAATTTTTTACTTTTAATCATTAAACATTATAAATGTATCTTTATAGCTCTATACATTAACCAAAGGACTAAACATATATGTGTCATTTTTATACAAAAGAGTACATAGAGTACAACTCCAGTTTGCCACATACGTACGCGTTTAACGTCACTACTTGAGTTATTATTATGATGTGGTGTTTGTATTAGTCTTTATTAAATTGATTTTAGTCGAGTGTAATATCCGTCCTACCATCCCACGCATAATATAAATTATATTAATAATTAAATAATATTAATTTTTTTATCATATATTATAATGACTAATACTTGACATATAGTAAGATTCGAAAGAGTGATTTGTGCGTATATAAAAGGGAAAAATACCCGTATATTACTAAAACTAGGTAAATTTCTTAATCTATGACCTGACATCTTTTTAGTCGGTCGTATGACCGAAAATAGGGTGGGAGGGAACGGCCAGGGATAATGCTATTATTGAAATACGAAAATACCCCCAAAAGGAAACAAGCGTGCATTGAAAAAAATAGAAATTGAAAAGCAAACGTTCAGAATTCATCGGACAGAGGAATTTCGGCGGGGAGGTTTTTTTCAGACTTTAAAATATGGAAGGACTTAAATGCTAAACTTACTTCCATTAATCAGAGAGATGAAGACAAATTGGTAAAAACGAGTGCCGGCAATCGATAGAGCAGACGAACGAAGACGAACGAAGAGGAACGATGGTGAGGAAAAAGGGAAACTCGCGAAGAAAAAGCGATGAATTGGACTATGAAATCGTCAACATCAATGGCGTCGTGAGTTTTTATCACTTTTGTTTTTTGTTCGCGAAGTGATTATATATTCATGCTTCAATGCAGTTTTTGAACTAAGATTTGTGTTAGTGAAATCATTATATATGCGAATCGAATGCATGCATTGATGTCGTTTGAAAATGAGTGTATATTATTGTTGTTGTTTAGTTCGTGTATTGATAGGTGTATGAGGGGTTAAAGTGAGTGTTGGTTGAGTAATTTCGAAATACAGATTAAAATATGACTTTCACTACTCTTAATCTAAATTTTGGTTGTTTAAATTTTCTAATTGAGCAAAGTAATTGTGTCTATTGAAATGTATTATTGCACATAGTGTTCGTGTTATTCTTATAGATCAGACTAAATGTGTGTATTTGTTGAATGTATTTTGGTATGCAATATTTTTAACACTTAATACTCTGTGCAGTGAATTAGATTGAATTGAATGTGTGATTTGAATCATTGTAGATTTGTGCATGTCTTACACTCTTATGGCTTTCACTGCATGTAATCATTTCTGGAATCATTGTATTGTTTCTGGAATCATTGTATTGTTTCCTGTAAGAGGGGTTGAAGTATGCGTAGTTGAGTCATTTGGAGCAAATTGAGCTAATTAAATTTGTGCATTGAGGATTTGGAAAACTTATGTAAGTAAATTTGTGCAAATATTACTTGTTTTAGTGAGGTATATCATTGCACATACTATTAGCATGTGGTGTATGCCATGTTTGTTATTTCTTAGAGCAACCAATTTTAAGATTTTTTTAGGGAAGGTAGTATGTGTGGTGTGACTTTGAACTTGCAGTAAGAATGAAAAATTGAAATTCACTTAATGTGGATCTTTACTGATATTAATTAATGCAAAAAATTATTGTAGTGTGTTATTGGAGTAATTAACTTGTATTTATGTATTGTAATAGGCATATAAGCGCTATTGTAATGCCGAAGTTCTGGAGGCAAGAGACGACATGCGAGTTAGTAGTTTCTGCAATCCAGTGAAGGCTGTTGAAAGTATTAAGAGTGTATTGACTGAAGATGAAGTGAAACTGTTTAGGGAGACCGTTTTTGGGTACATGTTAGATGTAGGAAATCTGAAATGGTTAAATGCACAGCTGATTTCATTGCTGATAGGTAATCATGTTGCACCTGTGGAAGAGATGACTGTTAAGAATGAAATTCAGTTTCAAATTGGAGAAAGACTAGTTGGAATGAAGAAAAAAGACCTAGCCTTGATAACTGGATTTGAGTTTGGCAGCAACATACCACCTATGAGTACTCGTTGTGATGGGGAACTGTGGAGGAGGTACTTTACTGGAAAGACGAGCGTTGACCGGGGAGACCTAAGGCAAGCCTTTGAATCCATTAATAATAGAAGACAAGACATGCAACCATTAGATGCAGTGAAGTTAGGATTGTTGCACGTTCTTGGCAACTACATACTAGGTAACCAGTCATCACTCAAAGTGCCTACAACTTACATCAACTTGGTAGATGACCTTGATGTATTCAATAAGTTTCCATGGGGTGATATCGTGTGGTCTGATTTGCTTGATAAGGTTCCAAAGTGTGCAGCGATATTGGGGGAGGGAAAGAGCACTAGGGTGACATTCCCTGGATATGTATTTGCCCTGCAAATATGGGGTTTTGAGACTTTTCCAGAACTGACAAGAAAAAGAGTGTGCTTGAAAAGGCATGAAACTTACTGGCCAAGAACATTAAATTGGTCTGTCACATCAAAGCCATCAGCTGTGATTCTTGGGGAGATAATTTTCAATAATCCACAGGTAAAAATTTTACTGATTTTTATTGCATTTTACTGATTATGATGTGTGGTCATTAATTGAAATGAAAATCTGAAATTTGCAGTTTGAATGGGAAGAGATGAAACCAACAGAGGAGGAGTTGGAAGAGACATGTGTTGCACATGCTTTGGAGAAAATAAGTGCTGAAGAAGCTTCTTCAAAGCCAGTCAAGAAAGCAAGAAAAAAGGCTACAAAGAACGGTTGTAAAGTTCGGAAGGCAAAAGTACAGAGGCATAATAACCAAAAGAATGATGTTGATGAGGATGAAGATCCATCTGCTGAAGATAGCGAAGGGAACAAAATAAGAGAAAGGGGAGTGAAGAGTATTTTAAGAGAAATGAGAGCACAGGGTGAAAGAATTGAGAAACTAGAGAGGACAATTACCAAACTCTGTGAATTGCAAGTCAAGCATGCAAGCATGATTAAAAAGCTGTTGGTGAATGCAAAGAATGGAAAGGTTGCTCTAACCAGAAGGTTTCCCTTGATCAAGAAAAGAAAAGAAGTCAGGGATGTTGACGTTCCATCGTTTGAACTTGCACCAGAGTTCAACAATCGCAGTGAAGACGAAGAAGAAAAGAAAAGTGAAGAGCTACATGAAGCGGAGCAGGATGAGAGTGACAAAGCAGAAGAGAGTGAAGATATAAATGGAACAAAGGATGATGTGGCAGCATCTGAAGTACAGACAGACTGGGGGGATGGATTTGAGGAGCCATTCAATACCCAAGTATTGGTTAATGCAGTGGATGAAATATTGGAAAACATGAATATTAATAAAAATGTTGACACACCAGAAGGGACTGAAGCAGTGAATAAAGCCGTGGATGCAGCGAATATTGAGAAACCAGTTGCTCAGAACTGTGAAGATCTCCAGAAGAATGATGGGGTATGTTTTAATTACATGCAGTTAAAGTTTTCCTATTTTGCTATTGCTATAGTGTAGTGTTATTATTTAATTATTTGGTTTAACACTTTAGGTAGAAAATGTTGAAACAGCAGCAGTTGATATGGCAATGACTGAAAAACCAATTGGTGAGAAATGTGATGATCTTCAAAAAAAGGATGGGATTGAGGTATATTATTTCTCATAATATGATGGTGGTATATTGTAATTAAATGCACTTCAACGCATAATTACAGTATTAGTATTACGTACTTTTTTAGTGTTATATTTTAAGTAATTGCTATTAAAATTTAGGTGCAACAGGGTGCAATTAAAGAGTTTGAAGGAAGGCCAAGGAGAGATACAAAGGCACCGAATAGATTATCTTTGTCAGGGCCAGGGCACACGAAAAGAAGGAAGAAGGATGCCCTCCAAAATGAGCACAAAAATGCAGTAGTGAGAGGGCCTCTAACATTAGAGCCAAAACAGCAGCCAAGTGACAAGTTGCTTGAACTTGTAATTGATTTCATGTATCAGGGGCTACTAAAGAATCATGAAAAATGTACTGGGAAGAAGTATAATGCCAAACATGAAACGCTGAAATTGAGAAACATGACACCGTTATGGAATGATGGAAGGCTGACAAGCAAGTCATGGTACTATGCCATATGGTTTCAGGGAAATTGGATAAAAGACACAGTAAGTATATGTATTTTTATTTATTAATTTTAAAACAATGATAAGATTGACAATGAATACTACTTATGGTTATTTTACATACACAGCACATTGATGTCATACTATACTACTTGCGGGTCAAAGCACAAGAGTACTCCCTGAAGCAGAAGTTCACAACAACAGATTGCTATTTTACGGCACTGCTGAAACAACACCATGATCTCATTGTGAGGAAAGAAAGCACACTTGAAGAGTCTGTACACAACAAAAGTGTCGTGGGAGCAATACTTGGGACAAATGTGCCTTACGGGCTACCATGGGCAGAGTGTGAGCATGTGTACATGCCGATGAATATTGGGAATCACTGGGTTCTACTTGTGCTTGATGTGGTCGAGAAGCGTATTAGGATTTATGACTCCAATAACCGGCTTAAAACCCCAAGCAGGCAATTGATTCAGTTCTTACCATGTTTGGAAAATCATTTAGGACATCTAATGGATTGGTGCAGGGTGTACGAAGAGCGTGGTGAACAGCCAATTGGAGAAGGAAAAGTGGGATGGGTTATGGAATCTAGTCCACAACAAAATGACGGGTAAATGCATTGAATTTCTTAAATATATAGTGTATTGGTACATAACTAGCATTGTAATTTTTTTCAAATGTGCAGGGATAGTTGTGGGCTATTTGTTCTCAAAATGGCAGAGTACCTAATGATGGGGAAAGATGCTAAAGAAGTGGAATCTAGGGACATGTGGACTTATAGGAAGAAGCTGGTGGCCGAGATACTGCATTACAATGGGCTGGTTAATCTGGACAATGTTGAATGAATGTTTAAAACAAATGTGTAATGCCGTGAATGAAACTTATTGGGTGTGGATTTTGGTTTTTGTGAGGATGGTTTATTTTGATTAAACTTCAGTATGGATTTACTTTAGCACTTTTGGGTGGATTGGACATAATATTGATGTTTTGAAGTACTGAGTATTTTGCATTGAAAAGTATGGTTTATATTAATTGATGCACAAGTACAGGTTTGATGGTGATGAACATTAGCTTTTCTATGATTCAATGCTATATTTAATGCATTACAGTACAACATACCATCAATGCACGTAATTACAGTATGTGGTACTCATTCATGTGAATGAAAAAGACAAGCAATGTATATTTCAATACTATGTTTCAATACTATGTTTCAATACTATGTATTTTTGAAAAATATTTAAGGACCTTTAATGTTTGAATGCACATGCATACATAAATACGTTAGAACATATAAACATAAGTAGCCAATCAAAGACACATAAATTTAAAATAAAATGTTTATAGTTTTTCAACAACACCAATGAATAAAGTAACATATGAGTGAGACTTGTAAAAAGAAGGAAAATGTGAATAAGTGGGAAAAACAACAATTGAGGAATGAGGTTTGTACATGTGTTGCTATGATGACCAACCATTGAGGAACATGTGCATTTGTGTCAGCCTACATGTTCACAGTTGCATAAACACTTGTAAAGTTATGATTGAATACATGAACACGTAACTGAGAGTTAACATTTGCATTAATGGACATCAATGCAGAAACAAACTGCATGTATTACTGCAATCCGTAACTACAAACTTTATTCAAAGATTGAAATTAGTAGCAGAACATCTGTATCACGTCTCACCTGAATACAATTGTGAAGAAGCGGGAAAAGTGTAAAGCGTAGCTCAAGAGTAAAACTAAACAAGTAAAAAATATTCAACATTAGGAGCGAGTGCGAGGAATGGGGTTTCGACATGTCTTCCTATTGTGACCAACCATTGAGCAACGTGTACACTTTTGTCGACGAACATGTTCACCGGTAGATGGAATACGTCGCTTCTTGGGTCTTCCAGGAGGTCGCTTAGAACAAGATGGAGGGCTGCAAATGATTTCTAATACGTCATGGGGAACAAACCAAGAATCGGGACTACCGATGGGATGAATGATGCCCTCGTAAGCTGAAAACCATTTCTGTGTAGTATAATATTCAGGAATGTAGTCATAAGCAGAAAGTCCTGGACGAGAACGGATTGCAGCGACGGCATGAACACATATGAAGCCATCAAGTTCAAATTCACGGCATGTACAGGTCCCTTCTCTTAAATTCACAACATATGATCTTCCTTTCACATCAAAGACCTCAAATTCAAAGATACATGATGGCTTGACCTATAAAAATACAAAAAGATCATACTTCTAACATAAAGCAGAACCTGATCATTTTATACAAAAATAACAAGACAAAAAATGCAGTACAGTATGAATGCAGTGAAGTACCTGCATTAATGCAGCATTTGATTGTGATAGCCGTAATTGCGCCTCAAAGTAAGCTGAGAGCCGAGATTTGTTTGATGCAGCCGCTTCTCTTCGATCACAGAACCATGTTTGCATTGTGCGTACTATAAACTCAATCAATTTGCAGATGGGATACTCACGAGCCGTGACAAAAATAGCATTCAAAGACTCCGCATTGTTAGACATCATCACAGAATAACGGTTGCGGCTAGCATATGCACGAGACCACTTGTCATTACCAATTTTTTGCAAGTACATACGTATACGCGGGTCATCATAATCAAGCCTGGAAAGATACTCTTCACATTCATAAACAGAACCCGCTCTCGCTGCTTGTAAGAATTTCCAAGACAACACCTTTGCAGAACCTTTAAATTTAGACTTTATATTGCCTAATATGTGATAAACACAATATCCATGTTCTGCATATGGAAACACTGAATGAACCGCATTTATGATTCCTTCATGCCGATCAGACACGACATACAAACCATTTCTATGGGTGAGACAATTCTTCAACTTGTTGAAAAACCAAGTCCAGTTAACGGTATTTTCAACACTGCAAATAGCAAATGCAAGTGGAAAAATCTGCTTGTTAGCATCTTGTGTGCATGCCGTGAGTAGTGTACCCTTGTAATACGATTTCAAAAACGATCCATCAACAATAATAACTGGAATGCACTTCTCCCATCCAAGTCTCCATGGACCAAGAGACATAAAAAAGTTCTGAAACTCTCCAGTTTCATTACAAGAATATGAAACAACTGAATCTGGATTTGCTTTATCAAGCATGTAGCACAAAGAAGGAAGTCTATTGTACGATTCCTTCTCAGAACCCCGAGCCAATTTCAATGCAATTTCCCTTGCAAGCCAAGCCTTTTTATATGACATGACAATTCCATGCAATCTTTTCATATCCGTCATGATTGACTGAGGTGTGTAAGCTCTTTTGGACAAGTCATCAAATTCATGCTTGATCAGTTCAGCAATAAGAGAGGAAGAAGCCTGGCGACTATTAGCTTGTCTAATATCAATGGGACTTGTATGGTCGTTATCAAATCTGAAAATGAACAATTACAGATGGCATTAACAGCATGTAATGACGCATTAATTGAGGTGCATAAATTTAGTGCAGATAATGACAACTAACTTCAACAAAAATATGGAACTTCGCAAGGCTGTCAAAGTGAAAAAACAACATAACTAAACAAGTTTAATACAGAAATAGAAAAATAAAAATGATAGAATTCATTGGCTAATTGCAGTGTATAAATTTAATACAGATAATGACAACAAAATTTAGCAAAAATATGGAACTTCACAAGGATGTTCAAGTAAAAATACAACATATAAGGTGTAAATATTTTCATTACCTGCAGCTTATAAGTGCAATAACACTGCATTAAATAATGTAATGTAAACAAGCACATCTAAAAGAAATACATAACGAAAGAAAAGAAATCACTAACCTACGCACTTGAAACAAGCCACTTTCATCCAAGCGAACTCCACGAACAGCCCACTGACAATCAGGATCCACACAAATAACATGTAACACCTTAGGAAAAGAGGTCTTTGTTCGGTATTGGAAAAAATTAGTTATTGCATACATCTTCAAATTAAAACTAAACTCCTTCTTGCTTTGATATATGGCATCCAGAGCAAGACGGTTGGGGTCAAAGTGGGGAACAAAAGAACCGAGAGGAACCTCAAACAAAGATGTGAAGTCATCATCCATAACATCTTCATCAAAAGACAAAGGGCTTAAATCAGAATCCTCCAAAGCATCACTACAGTGCATTGTTTGTTGGTCTGCTGCTGCTAATATTTCAGAATCCTCAAAACCATCCAAAACTTCATCATCCGAAAAAGAGTAATTAACCGTGTTTGAGACACTTTCAGTACATCCTTTGAAATCAAAATAAAAAAATTACAAATAATACAGATAATTTGAAAACTAAATTCATATACCGTAGTAGTTGAATGGCAACTGAAAGATAAAATCAGGGAAGAAATATTTTACTAACCTTGAAACGGTTGAAGAAACTCTACACAAAGAGGAAGTTGGTTGAAGTCCGATTGAATACTTTTCATTTGAAGATAAAAACTCAAGCTCGAATCGTCATTGATGATAAGCGGTGGAGGACATGCTTGAAATACATATGAAATACGTATAGCACGATCACAATCTCTTACGCCCAACGAATTGTATAGAATTCCACAAAATTGAATCCAGTTGCACGACAAAGGAATAGTAATGGAGATGGCGGTTAAGCTCTGAAAGTGAATGTCGGACAACCACTGGCCATCTACGTTCATCAAGACATGTATCGTTGGAGATTGTTTTGGAGAACAGACGATTTCCATAATGTCAGAAACAGGAAGAACGAATTGAAGAAGTAAAGAATTATTTGGAGTTCATCGAAACAAGCAGAATAGAACGAAGGTTGAAGACGAGAAGGAATCGTAATGAAAAACGGTTACCTAATTTAGTGGATTGGGAAATTAATGCTTAAACAGATTTGGAATAAAGATGGTTTGACCGTAGGGTTAACTCAAGGGTATCGATGGAATTAAAAAAAGTTAACGCATGGGATGCGTATAATCGATGATTCGGGTAACATGGATTAGGAAAAAAATCTTTGAGGTCATATTTCGAGAAACTTCAGGACTTCTAGTCATACTAGGGACAATTATTCCTATATAAAAAATATTAATTTTTTAAAATTTACAAAATCTCATTCAATTACAGAAAATATGAATGAACACAAAATTTTCTTGGATTTGTTATATATTCATGCGAATTATTTTATTGGTCATAACAGAAAAAAGGAATCCAATTTGTATTTGAACATTCTTGAATTCTGGATCTTTTGGTACAATTATATCCCTTGAAAATCCATCCATCACGCTCAAGACTTCCTTAAAAAAATCTACTCGGCGTTTCAATTCACCAAAATGTTGAAAACGCTCTTGATATCTCTATTGAAAGCTCCTTTGCTTATTACAAATACAAATAAACCAACCTTCTCGAGAACTGACATCCGGTCTTAAGCCACACTGATTTTCTAGATCAAGGCATAAATGACAAAATGTTTCTTGATGCATTCTAAAGACATTGAAACACCTTTATCATGACCACTCAGTAATTCATTGATCAACATTTCTCCTGTTAAATCAGAAGTCATACATGGCTCCTTTAAAGGGCCCACAAAATAGAAACCAAGGCATGTAGATAAACAAGCAACCATATCCAAGAATTCTTCTTCATCACTCAAATACTTTAAGTATAAAAGAAGTTGTGCCATTTTCATATTGTCATTATCCATACCTACATTTATACAAGTAAAAATACATGATGCAATATGTAACAATATAATATAGTAAATAATATAAATTATAACATAAGAAAATATGGTATGATAAGTTCACAATATTCCAACAGTGTTTAAAAAGGCAAAAGTTAACATTGCAGCGAGCATAACAAAATTAAATGTCTAAGGTAAAAGCTTAGAAACATCCAACAAATTTAGTTCCCTAACTTATTGTACATAAACTTGATGTACTTAACACTATTATTGTCATCCGGTAAACAAAAGAAAATTATTTGTCGTTGCGGATCTTCAAACATTGATCAAGCAAAGAAAACTCGGGAGAAAGGGTAGATAGACCATTCAAGCAATATAGTTTTGCCATTGCTTCTCC